TGTTAGCCCCAATTATGATAGGTTTTTTGTATTGTCTTTTCATAAGACATCTTTCCTTAGTAACCTTTAGAAATTTATGCACTCTCATAGATAGAGTTTTTGGTTTTTTTCTTTTCTTCAGTAGAAAATAAGCTTTGTTGGTTCCATGAGGAATGCTTTGCTTCACTAGTACAACTATTCCTTTTAACCCCTTTTGAATTTTCAAATTTATTGCGGTAAGAATACTCGCTTTTGATTATGTAGCTTGTTGAATGATCGATCGATCAAGCAGCAATCATTGATCTCTCAATACTACCATTTCTCTTTCTCCTTTCAGATTTTTTTCTTCCTAATGAGAAAATTTGAGCATTCTACCTTCTTGGTGCGAAAGATTTAATAATACAAATTAAAATAGTCACAATGAGACTGAAATGCAAGGCATGTATGTATTTCAGTAGACTGAGGCCTCTTGATGCAGCTTCAAACAAAAACAATTATGCTACTAGCGCCAACGATGGGAATCTCCAAACCATCAAGCTAGATAGTAGCAATACATAGTAGGATTCTTTTAAAGGATTCAATGATGGATCACCGGGAGTGCTGAAGGGATGTCGCGTATATTACTTCAAAATTTTTTTTAATAAAGGTTTGAGTCTCCAGATTCGTTTGTCTTTTCCACCGGGAGCTTTCGATAGTGGATTCTTAGGCACATGGTCTAGGAGTCACACTACGATGTTCATCGTGTAGAACTTGTTTGGATTGATTTTGCGTTGACATAGTTGGCATTTTTTTTTATTAGGAACCTGTTAGTTCCACTCAAAACAAGTTTTCACATCTTCCATTGATAATTTTTAGGGCCCCGTGCACTCTAGCAGATAATGTCTCGTTTTTTTTATTTCAATCCATAAGGGTTTGACATCATTAAACCCAAATTTGGGTTTTGCTTAATTTCAGTGGTAGAGCTATTTTGTTAACCAATTTCAAATTTTTGAATTAGTTGTGGGTAAAAATACTCGCTTTCGGGACTAAAGCTTGTGATGGATTTGTTGCTTGGACAATCATTATTGAGTTGCACTTCAATTCTACTTTTCCTTCTTTTATGGTTCCTTCCTGATGGGGAAGCTACAACATTGCACGTTCTTCGTGCAAAAGGCTCAATTAGGACTAGATATTCACAAACACCAACAAACCGTTCTTCACAATAATAAATATCTTCATAGATGGGAATTTTTTTTTGTGTATCCTAAAATGCACGCCATGCAGTACATCAATCGATCGAGGTCTCCTGATGTAGCTTTGAACAAATACACTTGTGGTTCTAGCGTCAGCTATGAGAATCTCAAAATCATCGAGCTGTATAATGGCCATGCAAAATGGGATTCTTTATGATAGATTAATTATCTTTTCAAGATAAAATTTCATGGGGGTGCCAACCTTGTGGAGCAATTATTGTTATAAATAAATTCTTTAAGAATCAAATCTTGATGCATCTTTGAAGTTGAACATCATATATAATGGTCATTGAGTTACGACAAAATTTTGACAAGGAGCAATAATCTTCAATAAAAATGTTTTCTATATCGGCCTTACAATAGTGAATGCTTAAACTTGAGACTATATTATCTCACCCCGATGTTCATCTTGTAGAGCTTGTCTCTCTGTTGGGACATTTCGATGGTAGATTATTATATTGTAATCCACTAATCATACCCCGATGCTCAACGTATAGAGTTTACCTCTCTATTGGGACTGTTAAGCTAGAGATTCATGGATTGATATTCACTGGTCATACCCTGATGTTCACGAGATATAGATGACCTTTCTGTTGGGACTTTTTGGTGGTTAATTTATGGCTTGGATCTCATACACTGTTGCTCTCATAACATATATTACCTTTCTATTGGGACCTTTTAGTGGTAGACCCTTTGGTTGAGATCTGCAGGTCATACCCCGATGCTCATCATATAGAGATTACCATTCTGTTGAGACTTTTCAACGATCTTTGGTTGAGATCCACAAGTCATACCCCGATGCTCACCAAAACCAAACAGAGATGACCCAAATTTATGAGTGATTATGATAAATAAACGCAAATTAATTTTTTATTTATCATTTATCAATAATTTTTTAGGTGCCACTATGGCAATTATATGACTAGCCAAAGATGGAAAGAAAAACCTTCCCCAGCGAAGTTGGCAAAAACTTGTGCAACGGAGCGCAATATCTTTTATTATTTTTGTTAACGCTGCTGTCGTAGCAAAAAGAGGACTAGCCAAAGATAGAAAGAGAAATCTTTCACAGCAGTCACCAAAAATCTGTGGGCTCTGAAATTTCAAAAAGCACCTCAGACTCTTATCGAAAGCTTAACACGGCATGTTTGTTATGTTACAGAGTCAAATTTTCAGAAGGCATATGAAGTAGTAGATAAGACATTACCCATATATATATTTTTCTCATTTTGCGATGACTTTAAGATCTGGGGTTCGAGCTTTCCCATAGGTGCAAGCCCCTATTGTTAATTACCACCCCCAATAACGGGAGAGCGATTAAAACTAGTCATTAGGCGTTAAATATTTGAATTTAACATATAGTAGCAACAAATTTGAGAATTTAAATTATAAAAATTATCACCGTCGAGGCTTAAAATAGATGGTGGGGGAAATGGCGACGACCCGATCAAGGATTCCATGGTTTTGTCATACAGAATTGTCATGGTCCTGGGTCAACAGAGGTAGTCGACCCAACCTAACTGAAAGATCTTTGCCAGCAACCATGGGTTGCTTCGTTCAAAGGGGGAGACAATCATTGTGTAATATACGAGTTATAGCCGTGATCGTAATATAATGGTTTCATTTGGTGACAAACTAATTGGTCAAAAGACTTTGTTCGTGACCCCTACTGGTGCCTTTTAACGATAAGAATCACACGGTCAGAGGACTCGGGCCACGTCCTTACTGCCGTAAGATTCATTTTGAGCATAAAATTAATAGCATATTTGATATGACATTGGTTCTTTGTGAGCTCGAGTCTGTTCTAAATTTGTGCATCTCGACAAGTTATTGCGGAGGGCAGGTGAATTTCACTTTAAACATTAGGAGAAAATTTTTTAATTAAATATTAGTTTTTTATGATTTAAAATATTTAAATTTTATAAATGAATTCCTCCCATTGAAATTTATGATCAACAAAACCATTAACAGGGATTTTTACTCTGTGTTGCTCACAAATGATTAGATTCACTAATTGAAATAATTGAACTCAAAAATAAACTTTGAGACAGAATTTGTCGAACCGGAGCAGGTCCAACATATCCATCCGGTTGAGATTCAATATCAACACAGCCATCATCTGAGAATGATTTGTTAACATCATTAAGAGCATTGGTACTGTCAACTCCAGTCCTTGTAAAAAGAAGGATCGGACCTGCTCGGCGATGTGAGTATACGTTGATCAAGAAAAAAAAAAGGAGCTTCGGGTAGAGGAGATGACCACTGCTGGGGCTGGACTATAACAGGCTGAGGGAGGTGGTCCAGTTAGGAGCTGCAGTGGAGTTAGATCGAGCAATTGTGATTGAAAGAAGGTTGTCGGACTTGGGTCCCTGGAGAGGAGCGTGAGGTTGACGGCTGGGTTGTTGCCTGCGATAGAGAGGAGAGACGGGAAGCTTTGAGGAAAAATTATTCCATACGGACACCGCACAGAAATACATGCGGTGTTCGATCTGCACCGCTCATCATACCTCATCAACTTTTTTTTTTTTATAAAAATGAAAATGGGGTCACCGAAATACAACTTTTTGTTGTGATGAGCGGTGCAGATTGGACACCGCATGCATTTCTGCATGCGGTGTCCGTATGGAATAATTTTTCAGCATTGAGTGGGAGAAATGGGTTTCTTTGCGTGAGGGAGAAACACCAAGTGAGCAATGGCCGGGTTTTCTCGGTAAGGGAGATGACTGTAGCGAAGAGAAACCTAAGGATCGAGAGAGATGTGAGAGCCAAATGAGAGGAGATGAGGAGTGAGTGTAAAGTATATTTTATTATTATTAATTATAGATATGTTTTTTGAGGCTTTCTGATTGATGGGGAGAAGTATGGTGGAGTGCCTGGATAGGTGGTGGGAGTAGGAAAAGGGAGTAGCTGGTGTCAGGAATGAAAAAAAGTTTAAAGAAAACTGATAAATCATATATATATATATATATTTTATGTCAATTTCATTAGTAATTTTCTGTTATAACATTATATTTTTATTTTTATATCTTTCAGTTTTAAAATATTAAAAAGTTATGCATCTCGATTCACATTTCCCGCTTTAACGGGTAACCAAACCTGCTTTAAATTATTCATTTGCAATCGAAAGATCAAATGCTATTATAAAAGTAAGTATAGCTTTTCCCATTGCATTTTTATGTCATACTTTTTTTTTAATATAAAGTTTTTTTTGTTTTTTAATTCAGCTATATCTTAAAAGTTTTTTTTTTTAATTTTTAAATTCAACGATATCTTAAGTTGTGTGAATCATTAAATCCAAGTTTAAATAATTTTAGTTTTTGAAATTAAGCATGCCCATTAAAAGCATTCTATAATTTTTTTAGCTTGTAGTTTTGTTAAAAAATTAATTTATCAAAATATTAATATTTTTTATATTTGTTATTCCTTTTTGATATTTCGAATATTAAAGAAATTATTAAAATCTAAATTGAAATCTATGCAATTTTGTTTCCAGTGCTTTTGAAGGTGTCGTCTGTTGAATAGAAGTTATTGGATAAATAAATGCGTAGAGATGGTTATATTTACAGAATTCTGCTTGCACTAGAATTCTCTCACAGAATGATTGAGATTGCTTATGGAGTTGTATTATAGAATCTTATATTCATTCAATTCAATATCTTTTATCTTCTTTTCTTTAGGAAGTAGGTTATGTTTTATCGCGTAATCTGTGTTTATTATTGGTTTAAGTAATCAATATTTTGCTTTCTATATGAATAGCTAACTTTTTTGTTTTTCGCTGCAAAAATTGTGCAGGCTGAGCTTCAAAGTCTGGAAAGTGAGGATTGCAGGCTTGATGCTATGATATGGTGAGCTCCCATATAAACTGAGCTTCAAAGTTCAAATGTCCTTGATAACTTTTTTTTTTTTTTTTATTCGCAGTAACATGCAAGAAAATCTACTCTCTTTTAGTGAAGATGAAAGCAATCAAAAGTAATTTTCACTCGATAACCGTTACCATGGTATGTTACTGTTAGATCTGGTCACTACTAACAACAATGCCGGTTAATCTGTTAGATGGCTCTACCTCACGAAAGAAGATATCAGTTGTATCCCATGTTTTCAGGTTTCCCTTCTGTGCCACTTTTGATGTTTTTTTATCTTTAGGAAAATTTATACATGTAGCACACAATTCTTATGTATTTACAAATCTCACACATAAACTTTCATATTTACATACAAAGCACTTTGGTGCTCTAAACATATGCATGAAAAGGTGTATTTCACTTTTAAAAATTGATAATTGTGCTTTTTTTTTATATGATATTAAAGATTTGAGTGCTATGTTCATAGATATGAATTTTTAGATGAGATATGTACATGGATAAGATCTGTCTGCTATGTATGTAAATGCCCCTCATCTTTATTGTTGGCTCAAGTATGATCATCTCCGTGTCAGAATTCTACACTTATCGCAGTTAAAGCTCCTCATGGAACCAGTCTTGAAGTTCCAAATCCTGATGAGGTAAACATCAAATTTTGCCGGGAAAAAAAGAAGAATTAGACCCATGATATGAAAAGTTTCACTGCTATAGGGTCTGGAGTTTCCACAAAGGCAGTATCAAATGCTTCTGAGGAGCTCCATGGGTCCTGTTGATTGCTACCTATTAAGGTATTCTCTTACATGTGCATTAAATTGCAGGAATATTCAAAGTATTTCCTATTTCCTCCTAAAACATTATTTATTACTCCCCACTGTAGTGGAGATTTTTACATTGAAAGAGCTTGGTGGTTAGGTGTGGGGATGAAATCTCTCCATATTTTGAACTTCTCATTAAAGCTCCTAGGCATGCAAATCCCACAACGATCTGCTTTAGTATTAATTGGATCAGTTTGTTTACTGGTGCATTGATTATTATCATATTAGGAGTTGGTTAGGGTTGTTTTTGACTCGATCTCGAGCTCATTTGATCCTGACTCAAGTTCGACTTAGTTTTAAGTTCAGCTCATTTTAAGCCAAAATCGATCCAATCACGATTAATTTTTTTGATCTAAAATTAATATAGATGCATGTTGGTTCATGCGTCCATGCGCACACAAGGGCGTTCTTGTAACTTTAAATGCATGAAATGTATGTAAAAGCATTATTATGTATAAATATATGTATTTATTTATTTTTCAAGCCGATTTGCAACATGCTCGATTTGTATCTTGGTCCAGCTCAAAATTGGATCAAAGATCATATTAAGCCAAAAGTTTGGCTTATGATTGCTCTTTTGGATTGTTTTATGCTGGAGCTCAATTTATTCAATCTTCCAAGCTAAAATTTCAGTCTTAGAGTTGTTGAAGTTCCACATGACAAGGTCCCACTTCTATCTTATGTTATCAACAGCAATCATGAAGAGAGATTTGAGGCTTCAAATTTGGATCAACACTTTGCATCAATGGATTTATCTGTTCAGAATAGCTGCACGAGTATGCACCATTTGATGGTCCCTCGTCCAGGAGATGGACATATTCTCTCAACAGCTGATCAAGAACAAATTGAAGCTGATAGAAGTACGTTGGATGCTGACATTTTGAGGGACTCTGAAGGCGGCATCGTGAAAATTACACCATGTGATGATGTTGTAAGGGCATAGTCTTTTAAGCATTTTAGCTCGCACAGCAATAAGGCATTTACATACCACCCAATTCCTATGTATTTACATATCTAACACCTAAACTTTACTTTTTTACATTTATACCAACCAAATCTTTCATATCACATAAAAAAATGCAACCATTTTGATTTTTAGAAAGTGAAATATATTTTTTCATGTATAGGTGAAGTGGTATGTATGTAAAAATTGAAGGCTAGGTGCTAGATATTGAAATTTGTAGGAATTTAGTGTTAAGTACGTAGTTCTAATGAAAAACAAATTATCGGCTAATATTTTAGATTATTTGCAGTCGGATTATTGGCTTCTGTCAGAAGGTGGTGGTTATGGCATCTCAGAATCATGGAGAACATCATGTATCCTTTTTAGTTTTTTATTTTTTTTATTTTTTTTTATTTTTGTGAAAATCCACATCAATTACTTGTATTATTGCTCTTTTTATCATTGAATATTAGCCTGCCTTGAAACAAAAATGCCTGGGATTTTTTAATCGACTGCTATGCTGGTAAAGCATCTTACTAATGTTTAATTCTTCAGGATTTTGCTGTAGAAACTATATATCATCTATTTCCTTCTATCTTTAAATCATCCTGTTTTCCTTAACTTACACATCAGAGACAATGATGTTGGCTTTCTTTTTTAATTTTTTTATTTTTTCTTTGTAAATGTAGATTTCCAGTCAGGCCAAACTGAGAAGCGTTTTACTGGGCGTCGTCTTTAGAGATGTTTCTGATTGCTAGAGATGCTTTCCCGCGCCCGCACCCGCGCCCGCACCCGCGCCCGCCCGCCATCTTGTAAATAATATTTAAATAGTTATTTTACAGCATAATAAATCATAATAATTTTGTATCTGTTTAGAATCGTCAGCAATGTACAAATGTTTTTAACAGAAATTCTGGCAGCATTCTTGACATGGACCTTTTAGCTATTGTTTTGATTATTTGATCTGAAACCTCTGTGACTCGTGAGATAATATTATGCGTGGCAACACCGGACTTAATATTTTTTGTAAATCACACTACCTTGACGAGTATTTCTGAAGAGAACTGAGAAGTAACCGTAAAGAGAAAAGCTTTAGGATTTTATGAGAGTTGCTTTCTTTCAATTATCTAAGGTTTTTCAACCTTGAGTTTTTTTACCCATTAAGTTATTTGTGCTGAATAAACCTGTGAGCTATTTTTATTAGAATGAAGCCTTCCATTTATTTGCTAGAAAAGCCTTCAAAGATTTAGGAAGAATAATGCTTGGTGTTAGTCAAGCCATTTAGATAATCATGTGCTATAGCATAGACATATACTAAAAATATTGGAGGACGTTTTGTTTTTAGTATATGTTAAATAAGATTTCACTTGGTTCCAATTAAAGTTATTTGGTTGAATTCATAAATGAAATCTCATTTTATGAATTTAATTTTTATGCGCAGAAATACATTTTAAGGTTTTCTAATAACTTGATATTTATCTTTCCCACATTCTTACACTTTCATAATACACGGCAACCAATCACTGTGACCTGCTGCTGTTTTTGAATTTTAGCACATCTAAAATGTATCATAATAAAAACAATATTTTAATAGAATGAATCATATTCAATTAAGTCTCCCACTCAAAATTTATGCATTTTAAACAGACATCTCAATACATATCTTTTAAATACATTCAACCAGGCAAAAGCCTAAATCCATCTATTTTAGAACGTAAATTAAAGCAAGCGGCTCATAATCTTAGCAGATTAACACCTTATTCGTCTGTATTTCATATTACTGTACAAAATAAAAGCTCATATGAATAGTTATTTTAAAAAAAGAAACCCTAAAATTAAAATACACAAGAAGCATCTTCATTCCTCCATCTGAAATGCTCTCTTATGCTTCTACTTCCGGTTGCCACACTCCTCAAGAACTCTTTCTATCAAAAAACTTCCCTCCTACCAATAAATTACTGATCAAACCGACGATCTGATACTGATGAGGTTACAATACAGTCCAATGCAACATACTCTTATAGGATACAAAAAGTAGGCATTTAAATATAGGCATCTCCTTAACTAAAGATTCAATCAACAAAAACCAAAATAATAATCGGTCCCATTAAGCCCTCAGAAGAGCCCTCTGCTTTAAGGATCAAAGTTTGCTCATTCCTCCATCTTATCTTCTGTTAATCCATCCTTCTGCGGCACATTTCCATCGTCCCCAATAGCAATAGCCATATCAGTGTCCTCAACTTTATCCAACTTCTCAACTTCTACAGAGTCCTCAACGGTGTCTTGAGAAGAGGAATTTATAGTTCCATTTGGATGTGAAATGCGCTCCTGGTCACCACTGACAATAGCCATGTCAATGCCCTTCACTTCGTCCAAACCCCCAATTTTCTCAGGATCCTGGACATTGTCTGAGCTCTCGACTTTGTCTGAATCCACAACCGTATCCTGCGACGATGATTTTAGAGTTCCATTTTGACGTGAAATGGGCCCTTGGTATGCTGCATGCTGGTCTCCCATAAGCTGCACCTGTACAAGAAATAATATAATCATTCACTGATCCCATTGGAACTACATAGATATTTCATAGCCTGTTTTGCAGAAGTGAAAAAAAAAAGAGGATATTTCATAAATACCACACAACTCTTATGTATTTACAAATTTAAAACTCAAAGTTTGATATTTACACTTATAACGTCTTACTATATCAGAAACCTGCACATGAAAATGTCTACTTCACTTAAAAAAAGATAATTATGGTGATATTTTTCGTGTGAAGTTAAAGATTTGAGGGAAATGCGCTCCTGGTCACCACTTACAATAGCCATGTCAATGCTGTTCACTTCGTCCAAACCCCCAATTTTCGTAGGATCCTCGACATTGTCTGAGCTCTCGACTTTGTCCGAATCAACAACCGTATCCTGCGACGATGATTTTAGAGTTCCATTTCGACGTGAAATGGGCCCTTGGTATGCTGCATGCTGGTCTCCCATAAGCTGCACCTGTACAAGAAATAATATAATCATTCACTGATCCCATTGGAACTACATAGATATTTCATAGCCTGTTTTGCAGAAGTGAAAAAAAAAAGAGGATATTTCATAAATACCACACAACTCTTATGTATTTACAAATTTAAAACTCAAAGCTTGATAGTTATACTTATAACGTCTTAGTATATCAGAAACCTGCACATGAAAATGTGTACTTCACTTAAAAAAGATAGTGATGGTGATATTTTTCGTGTGAAGTTAAAGATTTGAGTGGTATGAAATGAAAAATTTCTTCACTCATTCCTCCATCTTATCTTCTGTTAATCCATCCTTCTGCGGCACATTTCCATCGTCCCCAATAGCAATAGCCATATCAGTGTCCTCAACTTAATGTAAATTCTCCAAAAAGAAATTATCACTGATTAATCGATACCTGGTAGAGTTGGTGCATCTTGAAGTTAACCAATCCATCCATCTCCTGAACGCCACTCACAAAGTGAACTCTCCCAGTTTCTCCAACACTGCGTTCTGTAAAAGGAGTGGCCTCATCCAGATTCAAGCCAAGATGGTCAGGTCTCTGAAGAAGAAGCTGAAAGGTTGGTTGTAGTTCATAACACTGTTCAAACAATGCACGCCGACAGAACACATAAAGCCCCAAACGAGCTCGAGACATGGCGACAACTAGTCTCCTTACGTCTCGTAGATGGCCGACAAAACGAGTGCGAACAAGAGAAAGCAAGATAAAATCATTTTGTTGGCCTTGAAATTTATCAACAGTGGTGACCTGTTTTAAGACGCATCACAATTTAGCAAAGTATAATGGAAAATTTAAAGTATTATTTACATACATACCACGCAATTCTTACATACATATCAAACACCTAAATTTTGCTTTCTATATTTATAACACCCAAATCTTTCATAACACATAAAAATATCATTATTTTCATTTTTAAAAAGAAAATTACACCTTTTCATGCACAAGCAAGGTGACATATATGTTAAAATTGAACTTTAGATGTTCGATATGTAAATACATAAAATTGAATGGCATGCATGTAAATTTTCCAAATTTAAATGGTTCAAGCCACTAATAGAAAAAAACCTAAATGATTGAAAGCAAGAAGGAGATAGAAAACTCGCCTTGCTAGGTGGACCAATCCCACAACTGGTGCATCTTCTGCTGACGACATCACGGATCAAAAGCTTTTGGCCATTATAAGTTGTTAATATGGAAATCTTATTTGCCGGGTATCCGAGTAAACGCATATACATGTAAACGCTAACAATATACTCCGCCTCTCCTTCGTTCTGATAGAACCATGGCGAAGGAGCGGTTTCACCTTTGCCAAGGTAATCAGGCACATCTATCAATTGATATTCATAAGCGAATCCAGAATTCGCTTTGTTAAAAATAGGCATCTCTCGTACAAAAGGAAGATCACCCAAATCTCTATATCTCCAGTTGTAGAGTTTTGCTAGACTTGGTCGAGCTCTACCCTGGGCATTAAGCTCTATATAAGGAATGCCCAACCGAACAAACCGAGTAAAGAGACTTTGATCCATATGGCTATACTTTTGAAAAGCCATATTTTTTACGACCGGAGGCAACTGATGATGATCGCCGATCAGTATGCATCGCTTCAACCGAGCATAACCGTCTTCCTGTCTTTGAAGCAACATTGGTATGAACGTCTCTATTTCGAGTATCTGCGCGCTTTCCTCCATCAACAAGTTGTCATACTTAAATCCCACTTGAAGAAAATCTTTCCTCTTCAATGCTGCGTGGGTGCAGGTCATGGCCACGATTTTGGCTTGTTTAGTCATGAGATAGTTTGCGCGATCGGCTGTCGATTTAAGCAGTTCGAATGCCCTGCATTCCTCCAACTCCTGAAACATTGTTGAAAGATGACGGAAACAGCCCTTCGCCGCCCGCATGTCTTTCTCGAAGGATTCGCCGCTGAAAATGGGCTGAGGCGTGTTGGAGAAGAAGTCCTGGAATGGAAAACGATCTTTAACAAATGTGGGTTTGTCTTTATTTTTTGCGCATGCATCTAGAAACTGCTCCCACCTCGAATAGACATGGAGCAACCAAAAGTATCCAGCAGTTTCACAAGTGTAGCCAACATCTTCGGGAAGCTTAAGAGACCCGGCCAGTCTTTCGACTTCACCGAGCAATTCTAGTCGTCTTACAAGCATTGCATTCACACGGCCTTGTCGACTGAAGTCCAGATCAGTTGCCAGCTCCTGTTCACCCTGGCCTAATCGAAGCAGATACCTCGCTGGTACATCCCGCTGAAAAATTCAAGAAAAAGAAATGTAGAACCAATCTAGTATAAGGGTGGAAGACGATAGCATGGAACCTAAGAGATTTCTAACATTCTAAAGATATTCATAGATAAGAAAACATTCGTTTACATATTAATTGGGAGAAAATTAGGAGAAAAGTATTAAAATAGTCCCCTAACTTCATATAGGGGATCAATTAAGAATATAAAAGTGTTAATTGAGTCGCCAGACTTGTTTAATATGGGCTGAACTAGTCCAAAATGGAGAATTATTTCACCCCGATTTAATGAGTTTGAGGACTAATTTGACACTTGTATAGATTATGGGAATAAAATGGCCCCATGAAAATAGTTAGACGACTATTTTGACACTTTAATTATTAGTAACTTAGAGAACGCATGAAATTGCAGAACCAAGAAATTTCAAAATGATTCATGAGATGAACATTAAACAACAGAAGCAAATCATGCAAAAATTGACGTGCAGGTAAAGACGAGTGGAAAAGCTGTGCTGGTGCTGGAGGAGTAGAACTGGTAGAAAAAGCAATGACCAGTTAAACTCAATAAAAGCACAACAGAGTATATCATTTGGCCATGAATGCATATGAATGATGACATGAAAATATGGGTAGTGAAACATAGCCTGATGGTAACCTAGTAAATTACTTTACAACAATTAAATGATGACCCAAAAGTCATTTGGGTGGTGTAATACATCTCAATAACAGTCCAAGGGGAACTTCAGAAATGAAAGTATTGCAAATATCACAGCAAAAACCACACGGATCTGCCATATCGGTGTGAATTGCACCAATACTATCATAATCCAAATGAAAGCATTGAAAAATAAATCGCTAACTGGTTCAAAAGACACGTTTCCTCAAACCAAAAAAAAAAAAAACAATTACCTCCATTATCTTCTCCAATTACCTCCATTATCTTCTCCATTATCTTCTCAAAAAGATCATTTAGAGCTTGATTAGAATGTGTGATGATAAGTGTTCTCTGTGACGGACAATTATGATAAAGAACATTCAAAATCTGCACTGCCGTATCTGTTTTGCCGGTACCAGGTGGACCAACAACCATGGTCAATCCTGGCTGGATTCCTGAAATAATTGCACCAACCTGGAGAAAACAATCAGGTATGGGAATATTGAAACATAGAAATGAGTATGAGGATGTAAACAATAGGTAGATACATAAGAACCAAAATTCTTGGATTTTTCAACAGTCAAATCACAAAGGCAAGTAATGGTAGTAAAGCTATTACAACAACAACAACAACAACAAACCCTTAATCCCACTACGTGGGACGGCTACATGAATCCTTTTTCTCCATTGCGTCCTATTAAGTGTCATATTTTCATTTAGTTCTAAACACTCCATTTGGAAGTCAAATTTTCCTACCGCCACAAGCACGGAAATGACAATACACGCCAAGTTTCATGGCAGCAGTATTGCAAGCCTAAACCAGATAAGTACACGAACAATAGTAATGTAAAATAAGATTTTTTAAGTAAGAACAAATGTGCATAATGAAAAAAAAATAATAATAGAAATGAATCATAATCATGTAGAAGAAAAGAATACCTGGGTTGGTGTAAATCTAACTGAGTTTTGTTTTGGTTGATCCTGGGGATAAGGTCCAGGGTCAGGAGGTATATATGCCTCTACAACAATTTCCTCCTCGGAGCTTTGAACAGGGCCATTTATACTTGACTTCTGATCGCCTGGAAGAGCATGTGTACTGTTTCTCATTGCTTTGGGAAGTGTTATACGGAAAGGAGGACGTGGATCCAAATCTTCTTTATGACCTTCTTTAACAAAATAGACCTAAACAGAAACTAGGAATACTATTAGCACATCAATATCACAAACTGCTCAAAAAAGGAAAAAAAAAATACCTCGAAGTAAAGCTACAAACAAACCTTAAAACCAGGAAAGCTCTCTTTGAGATGGTCTGCATTTAGAAAAGTATCTTTGAAATCAATTACTTCTAGAAAATCAGGCATATTTGTCCACTGTGCAGCAGATGGATTTCCATAACCCAAAAATATATTATGCAGCCAATCCGGAACTATGCAAGTTTCATTCATTAGATCTCGAATGGACTCTAATATTGCTTTGAAATTATTTTCTTTGGGTTTCCTTCGCATTAAGATGTTAAATGATCCATAGACATCCTCTGTTCCTTTCTCACTGACATCAGTAACATCCATGTAATACTGTGCTGTATCCAGGGCAACAACAATTTTGCGTAGATCACCTTTAGGAGGCTTCCATTCATCTCTTTTGATTCTACCAGTGAAATCATTCATAAGAATACCTTCTTCATCAAGAATCTCAATAACTTCACACCCTCGAACAAACTGAAGACCTAGCCTTTCCAGAACAGTGGACTTAGCAGCCTCTTCCTGACTAAGAGGTTCGAACGAAGGTCGTATGGATAGCAAAAACAAAACATCATGTTCCTTTATAGAATCCCACTCTGATCTTATATGAGCCCTGTAACTAGAAATGCTAAAAGAAACTTCTGCAGTTACAGATGAAGGCTTGACTTCCCCAATATTAGGTTGTTTAATCTCAGTGATTTTAAATTCTTTAATAGGCACAGCCATTCTTGACCAGCCACGGAACGCTGCATCTCCCTCATTATTAATGTAGGCTAGAAGATGTGGGACAGCCTCCTGAATATCTTCTCGAATTTCGTATGTAGACTCAAGGCGGAAAAGATTGAAATTCCGTAATAAATAATCATGCAATGTAAGAAATTGGAGGTTGAGTTTTGGGAGAGCAAGGCAGCCTTCTCCAGAGTAGTTGATACTAGGGACAACACTTTCATCCCACATTATCTTCTCATTTGGGTACAAAGGAAGAGCGTTTATGGCATCTCTTTGGGACTGTCGCTTTTCAAAGAAGGATACAAGAACTTCAACGAGGAAGTGCGCTTTTGAAGCACACGGATCTTCTTCTGAAACCAATTTAAGCTGAAGGAGAAAATAAAAGTAAAATTCGGGTTTACTGAAATCAACCAACCAAAAGCATACACAAATTCTGAAGCAGCATAAACATTAGTTCAAGCTACATATGAGAAAAGTTACATAAACAAGACCAGAATAACACGTTGGCTATAGACTCAGAAAATACAAAAATAAAAAGTCCTTATGAAATATACTTTGACATTTATTTCTAATTATAAGACTTGGTAACTTCCACCATGATAGGCAATGGCAGAATCAATGAGTAATAATAGAACAGGCATAGCTAACCTTGTTGAAGACTAGGTCTTGGAGCTCCTCAGCAGATAATATAGATAACTTTTTTGAAAGATCAGCGCGCTTGTTAATTGCACCAATATTGCACAATGCAAAGTCCCGCAGCTACAACATCAACATAAAGTGTTACATTAAGTACGAAAGGAAAGCTTTTACATTTTAAGTCTTTGCCAAAGAAATTATACATGCACTATGTATTACTTCATGCCAAAGATATTATCCGCACTATGAACTTCATTTACTGTGTGTGTAACACATCAACAATAACTTAATAAAATAAAGACCGGTTCATGCAAAACTGCATGCCTTCAACCTTTAGGAAAGATAACAACTGAGGCACAAAATACTGTGTAAAAAAAAGGAAACATTGTAGTTTAAATTATGATAACTTCCAAGCACAAACTAGGGCAAGTTTGGCTCGTTTCAAAAGTTAGTCAAATGATTTTTAATTAATCATTTTTTATGTAATATTGCATGCCTTCTACCTATAGGAAAGATAACAACTGAGGCACATAATAATAAGTAAAAAAGAGGAAACATTGTAGTTTAAATTATGATAACCACAGCACTATTTTCAGAAACTTCCAAAGCACAAACTAAGGCAAGTTTGGCTCGTCTCAAAAGTTAGTTAAATGATTTTTATTTAATCATTTTTTATGTAATAGCAAAGCCTATAGTTAAATGATTTTTATTAATCATTAATAATAATAAAACATATCATTTTTACCGTCGCATTAGTAAAAAAAAGTTGAGAAGGTTGCAAGTCAACTTTTCGATGATATCAAAAATAATTTTGAAATTTAATAATATAAGAGGTTATGATTTGAGTTTTGAAAGTCGTGTTTTAATTTTTGAAAAAAACGAGACCAAATGGATCTCATTCGTCCAATAATCCTATGTCGCGAATGCTACACACTCCCGAAAGATAAGTGTATAACTCGGCGATAGACCTAATCCTGCAAACTAAGAGATTTATGACATCCGTTTGATCTGTGAACATTTTATATGTGACCGACAAGTTTCATTATCTAATATAAAGATTAGATAGAGTTTATTTTGCCTGAGTTTCAAGTTCCCTATAGAGTCAAGCCCCTATAGTTAATTACATCTCAAATGACGAGAGTCACTTGAGAAAACTCTCGATGAGAAAATCGATAATGATCAGATGTAATAGTCTTCAAGAATTCAAAGTTTAAATTTTCACGGTATGACGTGGAAAAACAAATGTGAGTGGCTCAAATAGGAACATTTATTTTCAGAAGTCCAAAGGAAATAAAAGATAGGGGATGTCACAGATCATGAGGAGAAACTTCAGTGACTTCCCAAACTATCCCAATGTGTGGCTAAGTTTCAGAGACGATGTTATTTAGGTGCTTAATCCTGCCAACTTTATTTTTTGGGACTTACATTTGCATAATATATGATTATGCAAATAGCCCACAGAAATAAGAGAGTTTATGTCGTGTCACACGGCAACCTCAGAACCTATGGCGAGTTACGACTTACGCTGCACAACATAGTTGTACAGGAGCCTAAAGAGAGTGTGAAGATTTACGTCGCGCTGGGCAAACTACCTTGAAGTCCTATGGGTTGTTATTTAGATTAGGAAAAAGATTGCTGAAGAAGATCATCTTGTTGCCCGGTATGAGTTCCTCGTCATGTTGCCCACGAATTTAGCTCCGAACCTTCTGTCGTCGCGATAGCTCCAGGATTTAAGTGTTTGAGATTTGTGATTTATGTTTTACAGTTTTGGTGTCAATGTTTGGTTTTGTTTTGTTTCAGTTTTGATTTTGGTTTTACATGCAGAATAATTAAATTACAGATAAATAAAAGGTACTTTGACAAGTAAAATGTTGTAAATAAACTTGTAAAAGCGTACATGGCATCTGCTACTGTTGCATGATTAATATTCCGAGCGTAGTATGACTTGCAACAGATTTAATAAACTTGCAAGAAAAATAAACAAAGTGAGAAAACCCAGCACGAAAGCCAGAAAAAAAGAATCGTAAAAAATCACGAGCAAAAGAAACCCTTAGCCACATATGAAAGATCAGGACTGGGTGTAAGACATTGGTAAAAGTAGGGGCTCAGAGCTGGACTGTGTGCTTCCCGATCTTGAACAAGAGTTACCAGCCCGACAATCTACGGGGGGCGGTCCTTAACCTCGATCCAAATGACTAACCATGAACTTTTATAATTTTTTATAAAAAAATTCTTTGATTTTCATGCAAAAGCTATTGTTTAAGTCTTTTTTTATGCAGAGTTCTTTTTAACATGCAAAAGAGATTTTTGTTTGATTTTTGTAAATTTTTGTGAAGTAATGTAGTCCACAGGCTAGTCACTCTAATCGTGCAACCTAAGAGCATCGGGGGCAACAATCCCACCAAGAGTCGGCGAATATTATCATGGATCATTTCCTTTCCCTTATTGAAGATCCTTGAGGTAGAAGATAATATTCTAATAATTTCACTTCATATCCCTCGTATAAGCACACATAAGCAATGTCGTCATCGCCCTCGCCACCTAGACCCTAAACTTATCCTAGTCCGATGATTCATATGTGGAGTTAACAAATTTTCCCAATTGCCAGAAAGATTTGAGTGTAATATCCAAGCTCAAATCTCGGTGCACTGGGTTTCATTGTAGGTTAAGTCATTGAGGAATTTCATTGTTTGATTTAATCAAGGAAGTCATGAATCATATCTCGGTGCATCCTCATGTCTAGTGTCTTAATCAGTTTGTGAATCTGGGTCAAGCGCCTAACTTCATCATTCATTCGAAAATTAGGTAAAAGAACGCTCACCTAGGACGTGCTCCTAAAATCTAGGAAGTCTACACTGAAAATTAGGTAGATGGACTCTCAACTAGAGTATGCTCCTAAAATCTAGGAAGGCTATAATGAACAATAGGTAGATGGGTCTCACCTAAAGTGTGCTCCTAAAATCTAGGAAGTCTATACTGAAAAATAGTTAGATGGGCACTTACCTAGAGTGTGCTCCTAAAATTTAGGAAGTCTACACTGAGAATTAGGTAGATGAGCTCTCACCTAGGGCGTGCTCCTAAAATCTAGGAAGCCTACACTTTAACTTGTGCTTAAAGTGATTTAAAGTATTCTACTCTCAATTAAGTGTTTCCAACTAATCCTCAAATATTTCTAAGTATATTCCAAATAATTAAATCATAAATTCCTTTTTTTTTTACTTAACCATTTAAAAATAAATAAAAAGAAAGGAGGTTGACCCACTTCCAAAACAAGTAAAGTCGAAACAGGAAAACAATAAGTGAATCGGCCTAAAAAAATGTTTAAATGATAATCAAGTGAAACCCAAAACAGTAAATAAAGCTCTCCAAATCCGTCCCCAAAACGATATGCAAAACTCTCCAAATCAAGCCCCAAAACAGTAAATATAGAGCAATCAAAAACAACCCCAAAACAGTAAGCAAAACTCTCAAAATCAATCCCGAAACAGTGCCAAAATAGTGCCCAAACGGTGTCAAAACCATGCCAAAATTAGCCCACAAAATGCTCCAAACAACACTTAACTATATTTCAAATAATACCATGTTAGACCATACAGCACCTACATTTCTAAATAACACTCCAAACGGCTCTCACAACACTCCAGAAGTTCTCACAGCATTTTAAACACCTACCAACAGTGATTCGCAGCACTTGTAAGCTACCTATGGCAATCCAAACCATAATTTCAGCACTAAAACAACTCTCAAAAGATCTCACAGCATTTTTATCACCTCCAAACAGTAATTTACAGCACTTGTAAGCTACCTACAATAGCCCAAACCACAATTTCAGCACCCAAATAGCACTCTAAATCACTCCAAATCAACACTTTTAAAACCTTCAAACACAGCCCCTTTTAAAAGCTTCAAACAATATTTTAAAAGCTCAAAGACAACACATAAAACAACTCTAAACGACATATGTTAAGCCCCAAAACGACGGAAGTGTAGGGCAAAGGGCAGTAAAAATGACAAGCTAGAATGACATCTCGATCCTTCTTCAAGATAACAATAATATCGAACAACCGACCAAGAAGAATCGACTGAAGATTCGCCTACGTACCCCACAACTCCTGTGCATTTACATTTCCAACATCTAAAACTTTACTTTATACATTTACATAAACCAATTCATCCCTATCGTATAATAAAAACTATAAACTTAATTTTAAACAGTGAAATGCACCTTTTCATGCATAGGTTTAAAATACCAAAGTGCATTGTATGTAAATATTAAATTTCAAGTGTGAGATATGTAAATACATAACGTTAGTGTGCTAGGTATGTCAATGTCCACCAAAGAAAGATATAAAGCATAAAACTGAGTTAGGGAAGTGTTAAATCAGTCATTGAGTCAAGTTCATCTCAACATTGGCCGATAAAGTTTATATTCAAAAGTTCAAACAAAACCTTAGCTTTGATGCAGGTTTAAATTTAAATACATTTAACTTTGATAAAAGGTTAAGGTTGAATACATTTAACTTAGTATTTAACTTGTATCTAGGCTTTGAATCTAAACAGAATTTAAGTTGTATTTAAATTCAGGTTTAAAGTTAAATGTATTTAAATTTAAAACCTCATACTACCAAAGCTAAACGAAATTCTATCCACATTTAAATACTAATTCTGTTTAGCTATTTAAATTTTAAATAGAACTTTAGCTTTGATTAAAGAGATTCATCATTCTTTTCATCGAAATTGCATCAAAGCTACACAAAGAGGACAAAGAGGATAGTGAAGAGAGGATAGTGAAGAGGATGATGACAAAAGTCTTAGCTTCTGACTACATTTAAATTCAGTTATAGAAGAGAACTCTGTTTGGCTAAGTTTAAGGGACAAATTCGCCACAAGTCAATGTTCAAAGAAATCAGTAGCTAAAAGAAAATTGTGTTCGACTCAAAGAGGATCTTCATAAATATCTCTTAAATCCTGTACACAGTTACTGAAGAATAATGGTAGATTTACATGCATAGCACACAAAAACTTACATACATTTACATATCTAAAATTCAAACTTTAATTTTGACATACGTATCAACTTACCTTTTCATAAAAAAAAAAGGTATTTTAACTGTAAAGATAAGTAAATATATTATCTTATTGCAACAGCAAAAATTGAGTACAATGCATATTTATGTGAAAGTTTTAGGTGTTAGATATGTAAAAACAAATGAATTGAGTAGGCATGTACACAAATCTTCCTATATGGACTGTATTGTACAAATAAAATGAGCAAGTATGGGAATAAAACAAAACTTTGTTACCCGATTACTGCAATTGCTGAGGTTTTGTGCTCCAAGCATTTCTACAGCTTGAAGAAGTCGTGTTCCTTGCTCTTTTACCCCTGCTTACCACGGCTAACTCCAATTCGGGTGAGACGGGCGAGAGAGAGGGTTAGCCGAGCGATCCTGGTAGAGAGAAAGAGTGAACTCCAACGAGAGGGAGGTGTTTGCTCGAGAGAGACGATGAGTCGAGCAGGTCTGCTCGCGAAGAAGTAAGGGGAGGCGAGCGGCTAGTGCTTCTCGATCGAAAGAGGGGAGGCGAGTCTTTCAATGGAGGAGGCGAGCAGGCGAGTGCGGGAGAGGGTCTCGAGCGTGGCTTCTTCTACGTGCGGAAGAGGGAGGTGCGATTGAGCAGAGAGTGGGAGGAAGAAGAGGCTAATGGGAGAGAGGAGTTCTTCCGCGCAGAGAGAAAACGCAAGGAAGAAGGCTTCAGTCGCACGAGAGGGTGATCAGGGGCTTCAATCGCACGAGAGAGGAAGGAGACGGGAGCGGGAGCGAGCGGAGGGTGATCGAATCAATCCTTCTGTCCGAGGCCAATTACTATAGCCAGCCGAAAATTGGAGAGGGAGTCATTACGTGAAAGCTTTGGCGGGGAATTGAATGCCTTCCTTTAGTGTATGCGACTCAATTGAAAAATAATAGCACGAGATTATTTTCAATTAATATGAGTTTTAAATGCTCCATTTGAATTTTGAAATTCGAAATTCGTGAGTTGAAATAATTAATCCGTGCTTAGCCCATATCCAGCCCAAGTCAAACTCGAGTTGAACCTGGGTTGAGCCCGGGCCCACGCTCGCTAATTAAAAAAACGTGCATCGATTTTTGTGCGATCTACTCGTGCGCGGAACCATAGTGATATGGGTGTCCTTTCTAGCGAAAGTCGACGTTACAGACGCGCCGACGTGATCCGTTTCGTCATCTGGGGTCGTCTGGACAAGTTTACCGATGATCGGTCCAAAAATGTGTCAACTTTATGCGTGGTGTAGCGAGTGAGTTGCTGAGTCACGGAGAGCTTACCTAAGACCGTTTGATCCTGTAGGAACTCATTTTCGGGCCCTCTACGTGTTGGTCCTTAGCCCTTACAACTAGAAGCTGAGTGCTTAGAACCACTCATGCGAGTTCTTCACAAAAATGAGTCAAGAAGTGGCTCGAAGTTCTACAGGAGGTGGGCTCCATTGCTAGTCTGTTAGGATGGTCAACAAGGGACTCCTAAGGCTAGATTTTGGGTTCTGGGAGTAGGAAACTAAGACCTCGCTAAAATGAGGTCAACATAGACTTTAAAGAAAACCAATGGTGGAAAGCCTGTAGGACCTGATGATATCCTAATTGAAATATGGAAATATTTAGGTGATTTGGGAGTTTCTTGACTTACTAAACTCTTTAATATTATTTTAAAAAATAAAAAGATGTCTGAGAAGTGGAGGAAGAGTATTTTGGTGCCCATTTTTAAGAAAAAAGGGGATGCACGAGAGTGTGCAAATTATAGAGGAATTAAGTTGATGTGTCATACTTTAAAATTATGGGAGAGGGTAATTGACATATGTTAAGACGTGTTACAAAGATTTCTCATAATCAATTTGGATTTATGTTGGGCAGGTCTACTATGTAAGCTATACATTTATTGAGAGGTTTGATGGAGAAGTTCAGAGATAATAAGAAGAATCTACATTTGATTTTTATTGATTCAGAAAAAGCTTACGATAAGATTCCAAGAGATATCCTTTAGAGAGTTCTTGAGAAGAAAGGGTTGATATGACTTTAATTCAAGTCATTAACGATATGTATACTAGAGTTGTTACTTGTGTTCGAATTGGAGGATTAACTCATGAAGAAGGATTGACCCAATATTTTCCTATTTCTGTTGGATTACATCAGGGATCGGCTTCAAGCCCATATCTTTTTGTTTTAGTTATGGATGGTCTTACTGGACATCTACAGGATGTATCTTAATGTATGTTTTTTGTTAAAGATATCCTTCTTGTGGATAAGACGAGAGAAAAACCCCAGGAAAAACTTGAATGATGGAGGTCTACATTGATGGAGGTCTACATTGATTTGAGTAGAACTAAAACTGAATACATGGAATATAAGTAGCTTTGTAGTAGTTCTAGTGACAGAAGTGTAAATTTGGGTGATCAAATTATTAAAATGTGTAAACGATTTACATATCTCGGGTCAGTTTTTCAAAGAGAAGGTGATATAGATAGGGATGTAAATAGTAAAATTCAAGTTAGTTGGTTGAAGTGGAGGAATGCTTTGAGCCTTTTGTGTGATAGAAAAGTACCGCTTAGACTGAAAGGAAAATTTTATAGGACGGTGGTGAGACGGACTATAGGACGGTGGTGAGACCTGCAATGCTCTATGGCGTTGAATGTTGGTCTTTAAAATAGAAGCATAATACTAAATTAAGTGTTGCCGAAATGATAATGATTAGGTGGATGAGTGGCTTTACACTTGAGACAAAATGCGAAATGACTATATCCGTGATAGGATTGGTGTAGCTTCTGTGACGGACAAAATTAGAGAATGTCGTCTTAGATGGTTTGGCCACACTAAGTGCCAACCATCTGATGATCTGGCTAGGATAGTAGATGTTTTATATTCGACTTTTGTTGAGAGAGGTAGAGGTAGACCTAGGAAGACTTGGGCTTATTGTATAAAAAATGATATTAATTTATTAGAACTAAATGAAAATATGACACTAAATAGGACACAATGGAGAAAAAGGATTTATGTATTCGACCCCACGTAGTGGGATTAAGGCTTTGTTGTTGTTATTGTTGTTGTTACTAATATCAAAGCCACAGATTTTATGATACGACTGAATACAAATTAGAAAATATTGAATGCTTATTTTAAGCTTAAAACATCTAATAAACAATGAAAGCTTGACAGAAGCAATACATACCAACACTACCATAAAAAATCAAGGGGTCATACATATGACAAATTTCTTTTTTATTTACATATCTAACACTTGAACATTCAAATATACATGCATACCACTCAAATCTCTAACATCACATCAAAAATACCACAATTACTATATTCTTAAAAGTGAATACACCTTTTCAAGCATAGGGTTATGACACCAAGGAGCTATAAGTGTATATATCAAAGTTGGGGTTTTAGATATGTAAATACATAAGAATTGTGTGGTATGTATGTAAATTTCTCAAAAATCAAACAGGCAGAACAAAGTCCAACACTACCTTTGGTATTTGTTTGAATGCTAAAAGTTGGAAAGCTTGTAGACGGGAATAATGAGCTAGAAGCACATCATCATCACTCATTTGACTCCCAGTATGGTCATCAATCTCAAAGCCTTCATAAAATTGCAGCAAATCAACCAGTTGTGAAAAAAGACGACCCTTTTCATGAGCATAAAGAGCACTCAAATGACACTTGGGAACAACAGCCACATCTGCAACAACAGCTTTCAAGAATCTGGAAAGGAATAGAAAGTGTGAACAATAGAAAAATAAAAAATATATTTCACATGATAAAAATTTTTATATAGAGAATCACTATAGCTAATAAACAAGTTTAGAAGAAAATTAAAGACATAAAATTTATGCAACAATATTTGTGTGCATAAGTATAAGATTTTAAGGCTGCTTTCATCTAGGTTTAAGGAAAAAAACTCATTTAGGATGCCTTCCAGCAAGCAACAGCATTATAGGTAGTTCCTGTTTAATTTTGTTAGGCCACTTTTCAGCAATTACAGCAGCACCAAGTGTCATAGCTGCCTTAAATGAATCCGACCACCTATTTGGATGACAAAGAACAATATATATATATATATATATAGAGAGAGAGAGAGAGAGAGAGAGAGAGAGAGAGTACAAGACAACACAGCGATGAAAGAGGTAGCTGGACACCTTCTCGTTGGAAGTTGGCTCAATAAATCAATGAGGAACTCCATGAACCTTTCACAATATAGTACACAAGAATCATCCACTTTTTCATCATATGAATCACTGAAATGATTTTCTTTGTCATCGGTTTGCTTAACTGAGATAACCTTGGAATCAAGTATCTATTTCACAATTGAATAAATTGTGAGTGTCCTAAAATGCAAATGATATAATAAACGACCAGCTCAGAAATTATCATACCTACCTCCAAAAATTCTTCAATTAGGTCCCTTAGGAAAGTCACCTCAAGAATCGTTGAAGGATCAAATGGTTTCCCTAGCTTCTTCGCTCCTTTGGCCTCTTTCCTAATCATTTTTCTCCACTTTCTCGTCAGCTGAGGGTTTAAGCATAACTCCATCTATAAATGAAATCCAAGTCAACTGCCGTTTTTTTTATTATCGTGATTAACAACATAAATCAATCAAAATCGCATCACTCTTATACCTGGAATCTACCAGGTGAAAGGCAGTGCCATAACTGCAAGCTTACCAACTTGAGAACAGTTTCACTAACAATCTCATCCTCTAAACTCTTGAGAAAAAAAAAAAAAGCAAGCAGATTATAAAAAAGTTAGTACAACATACCAGGCAAACAATCAACAACAATTACAAAAAGTCATGTGCACAGAAATACAATAATATATTAAGTAAAAAATAATATTATTATTTATGATGTTGAATTTAATTAGTGAGTAATTGATTTATAATTAAGATTAACAATATTGTCTAATATTAGTTAAATTTAACTATTGTAAGAGGTCATTAATTAATACAATAATATAATAATCACTATAATAAAATAAATTTAAAATTATCAAAGAGATTAATTGAAAGGCTGAAAAGGAAGAAAAAATACAAACCATTTTTAAACAGGAAAATGCAATTTGTGAACCAATAGATTTCTGACCCATAATATAAAATTAATCCTAAAATTCCATAATTATTTTATTAGTTCAAACTATATAAATTATATTATTGTTACTTATTTAATATAATATTTATAATTAAATAAATTAATATATATACATATTTATAAATTTACATAAAAATAACAAAGTTATCCTAAACTTTTTTTTATCAATTCTTTGTTCAATTAAATATGACTCTAAACTATCATAAAAGATAAAAAATATTAAATAAAATAACATAATTATTGAAGCTCCGTTCAAAATTTTAATTATTAAAAATTTATGTTGCTTACTTATAACTATTAGATTCTTCTCCCTAATTTTTTATATGAAATTTTATTTTTTTTTATATTAAATTTTTAAAAATAATTTATGTGCACAGGTTCGACTCGGAGCCCCTTTGTGTTGCAATCCCGATCATTGCTTTCGATCAGGATGGCGTAGAACTCCGTATGCAGCTATGTTACCTTCTTGGAAAGCTATGATTGTGTATGTATCGTTCAAACGCGACGAGAGGACGAAAAAGGTGCGTTTGATCAATTTGATACCAAGGAGTAGAAGTTGAGATCTCGTCAATGTTTTCCGCTTGCATGATCGCACACTGTGATCCCATCGTCCCCTTCCCTGCGAGCCCTAAGCATGATTGTATCGCCCGACTAAGAAGGAAGATGGAGTTTCAGGTCTCTGTATGCCACAAGCCTATAGTTGCTTTGCAGTTAGCTTGGTCGCTACTATATCGTCTTTCTGTAGGTGGCAACTTCGTTTCTGCTTACGAAAATCCCGATAATTGAACGCTACAAATAAACACGATTTGTCGTTGTTACCTGGTAGTTGCTTCCTACAACCTTCCTATAGGACACAGAAATCATCGCAGGACAAGCCAACTTCCATCGATTCAATTGATCCTCTCTTATGTCGATCTAATTCTCATAATCTTGAGCTCAAATATTAATATGATACGCTCAGACATCAAAATCGAATTTTTTTTCCACAGAAATTAAAGCAAACATAAATTTTAATTCCCCAACTCCAAATAAAAGCAATACAACACTAATAACTTGCATGAATACAAAAGATAAGCAACTACAATTCGAGAGGTAGGTGATCTCTCCGAATTCATACAATTCGAGAGGTAGGAAATGTCTCCCAAACCCAAGATAAAAAATTAAATTTCATGCATAAACATAACCCTTAAACAATAGGCCTACTTATACCCACAACAATAATATAAAAAATAATAAACTAAATTACCCTTAGGTGTACAAAAGTACAAATTGCCCTTAGGCTAGGCTCTAGAATAACAATTAACTTGTTATTATACAATATAAAGCCTAAATTAATATTTTAATGATTTATTTTCTTAATGTTTTTATATTTTATATTTTAAATTCTCGATCTGCCTACTTCATTAATTGAATCAAATTTTGTGTATTATGGATTTTTTATTGTGCTGTCATTTATAATCAATGTGCATATTTAATGATAGTGAATTTTACACTACATTTACATTTATTGACCATTAATTTATCATTTAAGATCAATTTTGTGTGCATTTTTTAATTATCCAGAAAGCAGAATACTTGTTTAAATAGATAGCTGGTAAGTTTAATTTTGAATCTTATTGCATGATTTCAGCAATTATACTAATGAATCACATAAGTAAACCTAAGACCCTAAGGGGTTGTTTGGCAACTTCAAGATTAACTCAAGTAGATTTAGTAAATCTCATAAATCTAAATTTAATAAATAATAATGTGAATAAATCCAAGAAACTGTTTGACAATAGATTCAATAAATTAAATTAAATTTTATGAAACTATTGGAAAACTTCTTTTAAGATTTAAATCTGTTAATTCAACTTAATTGTTTTTTTATTATTTTTAATTCATAAATCATTAATTAATATTTGTTAAGATCATTAATCATTAGTAGAATTTCTCTAGACAAAGTAATCATTGATTAGTTAATTACTATTCAGTAACCAGTATAATTTAATCATAACTAGTAAAGCATAATACTTAATTAAGCATAATTTAAAATTTTATAACTAAGTAAACATTAAAAAAATCAGAATAAATTATTAAAATACTCATTTGATGGTGCATTTACTTACATACCACTCAATTCCTATTTATTTACATATCAAAGACCTAAAATTTATTTTAATTAATATTTGTTAAGATCATTAATCATTAGTAGAATTTCTCTAGACAAAGTAATCATTGATTAGTTAATTACTATTCAGTAACCAGTATAATTTAATCATAACTAGTAAAGCATAATACTTAATTAAGCATAATTTAAAATTTTATAACTAAGTAAACATTAAAAAAATCAGAATAAATTATTAAAATACTCATTTGATGGTGCATTTACTTACATACCACTCAATTCCTATTTATTTACATATCAAAGACCTAAACTTTATTTTTTACATTTATACTACTCAAGGATATCACTATTTTAACTTTTAAAAAGTGAAATACACCTTTTTCATGTATAAGTAAGGTCATGTATAAGTAAGGTGAGATACATGTTAAAATTAAAGTTTGGGTGTTAGATATGTAAAGATATAGCAAATTAATATGAATTGCAAGGTATATACGTAAAACTTCCTATTTCAATTTAGGTTAAAATTTTCAATGTTAGTTTAATTTACTTAAAATAAAATTTATAAAAATGGTTATTCAAAAAACAATAATTAATAAGTTATAGAGTTAATTAAAAAAATTAAAGAAATTAATTAATGAATTTTTATAATTAATATTAATTCTAATTAATATAATCAACAAACTGAATTAATATTTTCCTAGTCAATCATTCTTGTTTTCATGGAGTCCTCGTCAAGTTCAAAAGCTATTGCCTCGGTTTCTCAACCCAAACGCCATTTTCCTCGATCCCGCAAGCAAACTTTCTTAATAAACCCCATTCTTTCTTATTTCCCATTCCAACTGCTTCGCCTCCTGCAGATTGGCAAAATCCAAATTTTGCAGATAAGGGATCCAAAAGAGCCTTCCTCACTGTTTTGCAGGATTTAAGTTAAATCCTGTTGAATCCCGCATTAAATTCATTACTAAACAACCCGTAAGATATCCTACAGCTAGATCAAGTTTTGGTTCACCCCCTCCTTATCTTGATATATTTATTAGGGTTAAAATGATAATTGTTGCTGCAATTTAACAAAAACAAAATGACAAGGAATTTGAACCAATTGGCATAGATATTACTAAACCACTCCTGATTATACAAACATGCCAACATAAACCTGATGATGGTTCAAGTTAAAAATTTCATAACAATGATATGATGATAATGGCTTTAATTCCTCTCCCTCAATAGAACAATTCTTACCTTTTAAAAAAAAAAATTCAAGAACACCCTCCATTTAATAATGAGAATAACAACAACAATCCTTGATCCAAATTCCCCCCTCCACATTTCTCTCATGAAAATTTTATTAATGTCAACAGATTCAACAGCGCTACCCTCCTATACTAGACGATATGAGCCTTCAAGTTCTGCATTTTATCTCCCCCTTAAACAAGGTAAGTTTGGAACCAACTCACATTGCTATCTGTTAGCCAAACCCAGTCTTGTTCATAAGCATTTGGTCGGGAGAGCAGTTTCACAAATTGTATTTTGAACATTTAGGTTGGAATCTACAAATGCTTTTTGTTTTTCACCTTATTTAGTAAAAAAAAAGGTATCACATAGAAACACCTTAGTTAAAAATGACACGGCATAATATAGAAAAGTTTAGTAGTTTGGTTGAGCTAGAAAAAATCCACCCCATTGAGATCCCTATGAACTCCACAAATAATCATTCTAAATCCCAGTCACTGTTAAAGATTCATCAAAGAAAAAAAAGGCACTAATCTCCACTTCATTCTACTCAATAACGACTAATATAAACTAGTACATTGCTTTGGGAAACCTTTTGTAAGAACGTAAATGGTTTTCAATATCAACATCTGATCAGAGCTCTAACTAGTGGTTTCAAAGAACAAAGAGTAACTGAGGCAAGGGTTTTCCTTCTTCAAGCACAAAGCATGAAGGAATGCGGAGCTTTTCTTATATAATTCATTTTTCACACATGATAAAGACAATGCAAAACTTGGTTGACCAATAATACCTTTGATCTCTGAAGTAGAATATAAGATTTTAACTCGCTGATCAATCTCATAGTCTGATCAAGGGGCGGACCCCCTTCCAGAAGGTGTGCAATTCGATCCTACGCCAGAGATCGAACCCCCAACCCCAGGGACTTACACCAAAGGCCGCAACCAATGAGCCAAGCTAAGGCACAAATATTATTATTATTATTATTATTATTATTATTATTATATATAATGCAATGCAAAGCTATGCCAAACAACAAAAGAATTTATTTAATTAGACAATTTATCATAAAAAACAAAGAATATTAGAAAAATAGCTTGTGCAGCTTCCAAATATTATCAAATTTAACAAAAACCATTTTAAATTTACCTGGAAGGCGTTAATCATGAAAAGCAAATAATTTGTCTTCTCCGCTAGAGTCAACTTTCTTCCCTACAATAACAAATAATGTTACCATTAAAATATTAAAGCACTGCAAAAAGCATAATCAATGAAGTCTATTTATGTGAGTTTGCCAAAATCAATAAAATTCAGAGTTTTGATCAAATTATACACAAATAAGAAAATCAAATTCACGGAACAGGATATATAAGCGTAATGACTATCAGGCTTAAAAACAACTTCTAAAATATGAGAAGATAGTTATAAATTCCATTTAATTTTTCTAGACGAGTAAATTTGATAGTCATCAAAGAAATATTTTGCAATACTATAATCACTCTCCATCAAACGATAAATATATATCATAATTACAGTCTAGAATGATAAGTAAAGAATCTGAAAGTTTCTTTTTTTCCAAATGCGAACACTTCAGATAGAATTTTAAATCATCAAGCCCCACCAACTATGTCTAATAGCTTAAGGTTCAACCGAACCAAATATCTTAACTTCACATAAGGTGAAACAATCATTTTGGTGAGGCATCCAGCTTGAGAAACAAATCTGGATCAAACAATCAAAACCATTTTACAATATTGATCCGATGTCCAATATACAGAATTGAAACTGGCATAAAATATAAAGCTTTTGGCTAAATCCAGCCCTAACTATGCCTAGGTTAAGATCACAAGTGATAAGTGCAATTGAAACCATACTTCTTACAAGAATTTTATTTAAGATGCCTCAAAAAGAACTTCATAGATCTGAATGTCAACCTGAAAGCAGATATCTATCAAGTTATTGAGTTTACTCTCTGAAATCAACTCCGTCCACAACAACGAATTTATCAACTAGTCTTTCTTTTTATCATTGATATTGATGCTGCAGTTTATTCTAGTTTTGGCTAATCTCTAACAAAATTCAATTCCATGGACAGCAATGATTTTTAAAATATGTATTTTTTTTTATTAATTCATAAGGCTGAAGTATATAAAGATATCATCTTCATAAGGTACCTACTAAATCCTGTAGAGGAATATAACCAAATATGTGAATTTATCCTTAGTCGTTGAAAGATTAGAAGAAAAACCTTTTGTGTCAAAAATTATAAAAATAGTTAAAGCGCCAAAAGAGTTCCCAAAGTTAGCAATTAGGTTACATAAACCAATAAGACTTCAAGTTTTAGGTTACATGCGCCAATAAGACTTCAAGTTTTGCTGTGCTAATTAGGTTACATGAACCATTAAGACTTCAAGTTTTGCTGTGCTTTTGACATGCTTTGAAGAAATACTTGAAATAAGATATCTTTATGAATATTACTTACAAATGATATAGTTCTTTTAGAAGATCTTTCTTGAAGTGAAAAAGTGGCTGGGTTTGAGATCAATAAAAACAGAAACAAGAATAGATGAGTTGCCACTCTATCCTTAGTGGATGTGATCATAACAGAGGCTCAAGAAATTTGAAGTATTAAAGGTTGAGATAGCTGGGACCCCTTTTACAGAAGAAGAAAATTAGTGGGGACATAATATGCAGGGCCAATTTCAACAATCAAAATGAAAGGGTCTAGTAGAAGTAAGTGATTAAGAAAATATATAATAAAAAAAACAAAAAAGAAAATAATAGCTTTGATGCATGATGGGCAATAAGGAAATCATATTCGTTATTAACCTAAACCCAACTCTTTGAGGCAGGCTTTGTAAATCCTCATTTTTTCATTTTTTTCATGTTAAATGTTAACTGTATGCTATAATTTATTCTTTACAAATTATTTTAAATAATTTTTATCATTCTCATCCAAAATTTTAGCAAAACTTCTTGTTTTTAATGTATGGACAACATTTATTCTTTGTTCATTCCAATGATAATCTAAAACTTGTCCAAATTCTAAAATTTAAAAAAAAACAAGATGAATAATAAAATTCATCAACTAATCAAGTTCACAGTTCAAAATAAAAATCTGGCCCCATATCTCACTTTAAAAATTGCAATCAATAAGCAAAACCAAAATAATTAATTTAAAAAAAAAATCATCCAAGAAGGAATAAACGAGCCTCATCGAAATATAAAGAGACTACAACTAGGAGTGTAAACGAACCGAACACGAACGAACAAAGCTTGTGTTCGTGTTCGGTTCGTTTAAAATTTAGTTTGTTTGAAATAAGCTCGTGTTCGTTTCTTAACGAACGAGCCGAACACGACGAACTCATTGACGAACCGAACACGAACTGTTCGCAAACAACGAGCTTTTTTGACAGCCCTAACTACAACCAAAAACAGTGCAGCCCTGGAAAGCACTTGAAGAACTCACATTCAACAAGCACACAAACAAAGAAAAAAAGAACTGAAATTTTATTTTAATATTCATTCTCAAATAATTTTTACATGCCTCAAGGTTCCTATTTATTGGTTTCAAAAGACCCAAAATAAAATTATAAACAAAATCTATAGAAGCTAACAGAAAAAAACAGCAAATTTCAGCACATCCAGCACTAGTTCTAATACTATAAACTTTTTCATAAGCTTCACATGACAGCTTTAAGGACACAACAAACAGAAGAAAAAAAAAAGCGCAAGATAGGAGCAACAGGCAATGGATTGCCAGAAGGCAACTAGGATGACTATAGCAAGGAGTGCTAATTGTCGCAAATGAATATGTACAAATAAGAAGGCAAAAACAGTACAGTGGCCAGGTTAACAATAAAGGGGCCAAATTGATTAAATTGGCACAACATAGAAAAAAAGAGAGTGGCGTGGAGCAAAAATCTGAGATAATAGGATCAGAATTAGAAAGAAACCAGCAAGGCTAGCAAGAAAAATAGATCAATAGGAAATAATTAGCGAAACAGAATTAAAAAAAAGCATATGCAAACAAATTAGCCAAAACACAATGACGAAATAATAGGAAGTAGAAATTAGCATTTCTCATCAATGTAACAATTTTGTGGCCCCGTCAAACTACTTATTTGGAAAGTCATACAAACCTGGGCAAACAGCTGAGTTCCAATACTTATTTCATCAAGAAGCATGTTATATAATGGCACAAAAAACTTTGGTATCCACCATCAATGTGGACATATAACAAAGTTTTGCTTTTGGAACAAGAAAAATAGAAAAAAATTCAAGGTACTAGCACCAAGTTCATGAAATAAAATTAAATGAAGATGTGCCATACAGATACCTAAAAGAATTTTCTGCTTTTGGAACAAGAAAAATAGAAAAAAATTCAAGATACTAGCACCAAGTTCATGAAATAAAATTAATTGAAGATGTGCCATACAGATACCTAAAAGAATTTTCAACTTATAATCATTCATCATAATACTTTGCAAAGTTATATATTTCTCAGAGTAGTCACTATCCTGATTATTTTAATATTTTACTAGATTGATTTGGAGACTGCTAGTTTTCTACACTTGGGTCACTACTAGTCTAATTAAATTTTTGGTAAGTTGACCAACTTAAGTTGTAGGTGTTAGAAAATGGGTTATCAAACCAAGTTCCTATGGCAAGGTGTTCAAAATTCATGTGATTGGTAGCCATCAATGTGTCGGAATACTCTTGAAAAGATATAAACTAGTTTTCCCAAAGGTTTTCCATTCCAAAGTGCTGAAACATTTTTTTTAGTTTTTTGGCTTTTTTTTATTTTGTCGAGTTCTTTTAATTTTGCAGCACCTATAAAAAAAATAGCAATAATACAAGTGCAAACAAATATTAAACAAACGGAAAAATAAAAATAAAAATTACTAAACCTAGATTCTCAGTAGTTCAACTAAAACTCTCCTAGAATCTAAGTTTAGCAACAGTGCCAAAAATTCGATGCGCCAAAATTTCATATGCACATTCTAACTGTTAAAAGACATATAACTTTCTTATAATCAATATAAGCCTCAATAATATTTTTATTTTATTATTCTAAAAAGCACTTTTTTCCTTAATAAGCTTATGTTCTTTATATCTTCTCACCACATCACTAAGTTTACTTATCAATCAATAATCTATTTCAAGCCTCACTTAAAACTCATATAATTATTATTTTCAAAGGACCTAACAATCGTATCAAACACTAAGCTTGGATCATCAAAAAAAATAAAATAAAATAATTCTAGTTCGCCTCCCTTAGCAACCTATCTTAAAATAATAGCAATTTCTCTGCTTTTAAGCTCCACCTCCTTAGCATAGGAGTGATATTTATTTAAAATGCCTTATTTACGATCTTAAGACAAACATCTATAACTACTACACTATATTGCATGTTCAAGTTCCCCTCTAGAAAGAGAACCTTACAAACTACAATCTTTGCTGAACATAATTTAATTTCTTCCAAGTCAAAATAAATCTAATTATGAATAGTTGGATACACTTTTGTAACCAAGTATTCTTCTCATTTCTTAAAGTATATATTATTATTGCAAGGTATTGTGGCATTATGAAATCCAATATAGCTTCTCTCATTACATATCCATCCCCTATAACATACCAAAAATGAATTGCATTCTATCCATCTAGAACTTACATGTCTATTTAAATCACTTCTAATAAAAATGCTTTATCTCTCGAGTATACATTGTAGAAATTCATTTGTTTATTAAAATAAAATTTTTAAACCTCTTATTAATCCCACTAATGAAGCAAAAGTACTCACCACATTTATAATATATGCACTACTTATTATCATAATCACAACATTTGACCCTATTCATCGCAATAGTTTGATCATTCGACTCTTTATCCATAACCATGGCAACCCCATTCTTATTTTCAACCTTACAAAAATTATAAAAAATATATTCTCATTCCTTTCAAAATTATTTCCAAGATGAAAATAGTAGTGGTTATGCGCTCATCATCCAATGGTTTAGGACATCTCCTTCAAAGAGGCAATGGGAAATCATTAAGCATACAATCTAACCAATTGCGAGGAAATCAATACTCTTTCTCTAAATAAAAACATCATAGAAGGGCTCAAAATACCTAAAAGAGGTGTGGTGCCCACCAATTTAAAAGCACATGACTTAGAACATGTAAAGTTCTATTGACACAATAACTCGGAGAAAAAAAAGAGAAAATCACCTATATTAACTTTATATAGGATCAACCCACTAGAGTGCTGTCATCATCGGTGTTCTTTTTGATATCCTATGTATTTCTCTTCTCCTCCAAAAATTCCCTCTCCTCTAACCTTTTTTTTCTTGGTAGTTTTAGAGTGATTAGTAGGATTCAACGAGTAATCATCAAAGCCGATAATGGCTTTCTTCGCATTCAACACCAAGGAAAGATATGTTAAAAGTAATTTTCATAATAATTGGTTAGCTAGCTCCTGTTTTATTTTAGAAATTGATCCTAACTTGAAACAAATATTAGATGAATAGATTACCAATTAATTTTATTTTTAACTAACATTAAATAAAAAATATCAACTATCTAGATTGATAGATTTAAAATCTAATTTTATCATTCATACAAGTTTAAAAACAATGTTGATAAAAAAAATTATAAGAATTATAGTCAATTTTGATTAAAAAAATCTTGAATGCATTTATTGTTAGTAGTAAGACTATTTACGTAAATCTTTTAACAGCCAATGTATAGTTAGGCATGGTTAGAATTCCAACTATGTAAGAAAATTAATAAACAAGTTTGAATAATATTTTGAAACTCGGACAATATTCAACAACTGCCCAAGCTCAAAAAGAATAAGGTTGGTATAATAGCCTAGTATTCAGCTCATCCAAGTCCATTTTATAGATCTAACGGTTTGTAATTTTTTAAACTGTTGCCTTTTCCTAAGTATTAAAAAAATACAGAATTCCTATTCACTTCACCCAAAGCTAAGAAATTTAAGTATAACTTAAATCACCAACTACAAGTGTTGGAATGCAGAAGCAGTTTTCACATTGACCACAGAAGGAGATAAAACTAAGACAGAGCATCGATTCCAATATAAAAAAAATAGCCGAAAGAAATAAGAGAATGTTAAAGTAAGAAAACCTCTTCTTTCAGACGAAGAACTCTCCACAAGAATCCCCTAAACGCCTCCTTCCGGTCATGAAAGCAAATCCAAGCCACCACGTTCTCCCGAAACTTCAAACGCAAGCAAATAAAACAGTTAGAAGGCCGACCCATCATTTCCACGATAACGGTTCAAAACTCTCAAACATCACACCTTCTCATTAATCATGAGAATCATAGACATAACATGCTCAAAAGACGCCGTCTCCGCATCAAAGTTGGGCCACAGATAGTTCTCCAAGTACTGGCTAACCTCTAGAATCATTACCCTCTGGAGCGGGACAGTTCTTCGCCCGCCAATAACTAGCAGCTCAGTCTCATAAATCTCCTTCACTAGATCGGGATCAAACTTCCGGTCCGCGCCTTTAACGCCAGAATTCTTCAGCCAATTCCCCGCTGCAATCTTGGTCAGACGGTCACGTTGGATCTCCAAAAGAGTTATGGAGTTATTTACGTTCCCTCCAGGTCGCTGCTCCGGTTGCTTTAGTGCTTTCACTGCCTGAGTCTCGAAAGGGTACTCGGCTACACGATGCCGACGAAAATCGTAGGTTCCGGTACCATAAACCTTCGGCATGTTGGCCCAGAAGATGAAAAAAAAAGAACGTAACAGAGATTGATTCGGCTTTGAACAGAGTGAAGTTTAGGGTTTATTCGTATGTTACAGACATACACATTGCTGTCTGGCAACGGATTTAGCCCAGGATTCAACCTGAATTTAGGCTAAATCTTTCCAGACGGTCAGTTTGGACAAAATATATCCGCCGCTTTAACTAATCCGGATTTCGCGGATTTCGGACTGAAATCCAGGATTTACTAAATCCTTTGAATCTGCTGATTTAGTAAATGGAGCGACAGGCTTACCTTCTTCAATGGTTTCTGGTAGGAGCGGAGCGGGAGGATGAGGAATAAACCCTAAGCCTCAATCGGATTCCACGAATGGGAAAATATGTTCATGGTTTGGGCGAGTGTTTTCGCAGAGAGTATAATGGGAAAATATGTTCATGGTTTTAATTCCATATATTATCAAATTAATTATAGTTAAATAAATTTATATGTAATTATTTAGTAACTAATTGATGAATAAAAATGCATCAAAGAGTTAAATTATTTAATAAAATTCTATATAATTTTTTAATTATATAATTGATTAATGTTAAATTAATAATTATTTAATAAAAATTAATTAGTTTAGGAAATACTTAATTATTAATTATCATGATTACAAATTAAATTTAATAATTAATTTTCATCATATCAATAAAAAATCAAAGTTTATTTATGATTTTTTTTCGACATACATAATAATTTTTGCAATCCCGCCATAATTTCTTAAGCAGTTTGGCAAGTTTTAAGTTTGGAATTAACCCTTCAATGATTTGTTAAATTCATATTTACATGATTTACTAAATCTTATTAATTTAAATATTGTCATAAAATGTAGCTATCATCAGACTGCTGTCGTCCGCCAACCGTCATCGTTTTCAGGCTACAACTACCCAGACTCCGTCGATCAGGGTTGCGCTATCTCCACCACCACCAATAGTAATATGATCAAAAATTCATGGAGCATCCATGATAAATAAAATCTCCTCAAGTATGAATGATTTTTAGGTTCTAAAGTTATATTTTTCATTATTTACTACATATTTTTGGTGGCACGAGCAACTTTGCCAAAAATAAAAGGAAACTAATACATCATAAATAATTTTTTATCAAGCATGAATCTCTATGCATTTTCTAATTGGATCAAATTAAAATTTAGGATCATTCTCTTTTGGACCCCAATTTCTGCAAGTTTATAGTGAAACTGACTATCTCAATAAGATGAGTTTGACGACTCTAAATTTAGGTCAATTCGAGTCTAATCAAGCCGATATCAAGTTGTTGAAGCACAATCGAGGCTTTAGATCATTAAATGTTCAAATGAATGCAAAATTTGACATATTTTTAATCAATTTGAGCATCTTGACAAGAAAAGTCTAACGAGCGTACGATCACTTGATTCTTAAGTGATTATAGCACCTAAATCCATAAAAACATCCATAATTGAGGGGGATTTACCGTTTGACAGGCGGTTAGGAAATTTACTTTTCAAAAGATCAAAATACCCCTTCCCAAAAGACTATAATAGCCTCTCTCTTCACTTGGTAGAGGAGGATAAGAAAAAAATAAGAAGTGAAATTTCATAGCCAATTTTGGAGAAGACCCGACGAGTACCCTTCGACCTCCATAATCGCCAATCACTGTTGATTGGCTCCTATCGGTCGTCGTTAATCACTATCTACCATCACTACCTATCGTTGTCAACTATCGATCGTCGCCTGTCATTTTTTGTAATAGTTATAGTCAAACTATGACATTTGTGGTCAACTACTACTGTTACAATTTTCAATTATAGTCTTTGTAGCCAATTGTAGCTATTGCAGCCACTGACTATAGTTTTTTATGACCAATAATTGCCTATGTAATAACCAAATGTGACATTTATGACTAACTAATATTGTTATAACTTCTAACTACGGTTTTTATGTCAAATGTCACTATTACAGTCATTGACTACATTCTTTAAAGGCAATTATTGTCTTTGTAGCTACCAATTACAAAGTTATGACTAACTACTATTATTACAGTTTCCAACTATGACATATAAGACTAATTGTCACTATTATAGTCACTAACTTCAGATTTTATGACTAACTGCTGTCTTTTTAGCAATCAATTATGACTTTTATGACCAACTATTACTGTTATAATTTCCATCTACAACCTTTGTGGTCAAATGTCACTATTACGTCCATCGATTATAGACTTTATGACCAACTACTTTCTTTATAACAACCAACTACAGCATTGTAATTATTATTGTACATCTGTGATAATCAGCTTTGTAATATCATCTTCTCAAATAAAGAGAAAAGTTGACTTGTATACTTATAATTACATAACAATTTACTTTGGTTGGACTAGACCCTGTGGCATTTTTCTCTTTTTAGGATTTTTCCACGTAAAAAACATTGATGTTTCTTCTTGCAACGTTTTTTATAAGTATATGTTGGATCTTCATGTAACACTTAAATATTAAATTAACACTCTACTGCTGTGAATTTTCAAGAAACAACACTACTATAGTTTTTTTTTTCTCAACCCCACCTTTATGTATAACACCAAAACATAGGTCACCATCCATTATCTTGTGGGCCTCTTTATTTATTCTTATAATTACAGTCAATTGGTTCTTTACATCATCTATTTTGTTCGTCTCTTTCTACTTTTGCACCTTATCTCTAATGTCAACCAAATGAATGACTAATCAACTAGTAATAGGTCACTCTCCTTTAACCCATTCTTCTCATTTAACTTTTCTTGAATCCTACTTAATTGCACTTCAAACTAGGCCAACAACTTTTAATTCTTATGTAATAGTAAAATGCTACTTTAATCATATGTAGAAAGGTATGGACTCACTAACAATTAATTGTGCTTCCACATTTTCCATTGTTTTCCTTATAAAAAATGTGAATGTTCACTTTTGTCTTTATAAATAGAATAAATATTTATCAAGAAAGAGTTTTTTCGTTTGACTAGTAGAAATACTCCTCATTAGCTTCATATATCAAATATCACCATTTATCACCTATAGGAGTTAATTTATGATAATAATGAATCATATTACAAAACATATCTATCAACACTTATATATTTATTCATCAACAATGATGATGAATCTTAAACTACAAGCATCTCATTGATTTTTCAACTAAAAATATTTGGTGCTCTTTCTCTCGCTCTCTCTCTCGCAAAGAAATTTTGCATATTTTTCTCTTTAACTTTGGATGGCTTCATATGCGTAGTAGTATAATATCATGGCATGTACAATTAGAGTGTAACATTTTGGATTTTCTTATAAATTTTTTTATTTAAGTAATGCCTTCATAATGCACCATTATTGTCTTTAGTCCACTCAACATCTACTCTCATGAATATGAAAAAAAATGGTTTATTATTTTAAGCTAATTTAAGTAGCTAATTTAAAGAAAAAGCAATTTGTTTGTTAATAATACAGATTTATTTTTCTATGAGAAAATATTAGTAATGCTTTCGGACATCGCACTTTTAGTACCTTCTTGAATTTCTCTCCCCAAACATAAACTATGTAAGAGATTTGTCTTCATCCATGTAATTATCTAACATCTTACTTATTTTGCATGGCTTATTGAACTCTTTTTCGAGATAATTTATCCAAAGTCCATCTTAGTAATCAATGCAAACTCAGTTATGTCAAATATTTTCTCTTTACCTTCAACGCTAAGTATAATATCATAGTTTGTCCTTTTATGATCACCAAACATCTCAATAAAAGCTAATGAATCAAAGCCACAAAGAGCTATAATTCACAACACTTGGGGAATTGGGAGAAGTGGGATATCTCAACATCGACAACAATATTTTTAGCCTCAAATTGTCTAACTTTTTTTTCAACCATCAACTCTACATGTGATTCGAGCAATATGATGCCTTTTACATGTACGATTAAAGAAAACTTTTATATACATTACATAACAACACTTGAGTTAATTTCAAAGTGGGTATTAAGTTTAAATAATGTAATGTAAAATATATTTAAATCATGTTTGAATAACAATCCAATAATATACTAACATTTTTTGAACTTTGGTCGAACCTAGCTCTATTCTTATACCTGATGATATCCTGATTGAAGTGTGAAAATATTTAGAATATTTGAAACTTTCATGGTTTACTAAACTCTTTAACACCATTTAAAAACTAAAAAGATGCCCAATGAGAGGAGGAAGAGTATTTTGGACCCCATTTTTAGGAATAAATGGATGCAAAGGATTGTGCAAATTAAAAAGGAATTATGTTAATGTGTCATGCATTAAACTTATATAAGAGAGTAATTAAAGATTAAATTAAGACATGATTCAAAGTCTTTTCATAATCAGTCTAGAAATATATCGAGTTAGTCTACTCTGCAAGCTATAAATTTATTGAGTGGTTTGATGGAGAAGTGCAGAGAGAGTAAGGAGGATATACAATACATATGATTTTTATATACATATGATTTTTATTGATTTAGAAAAAGCTTACAATAAGATTGCAAGAGAAGTTCTTTGGGTAGCTCTATTCTTTGAGGAGTTCTAGAAAAGTAAAGTGTTGATATGACTTATATTCAAGTTAGTAAAGATACGTATACTAGAGTTGGTACTTTAGTTCCAATAGAAGGAGGATTGAGCTAAGTATTTGCCTATTTCAGTTGGATTACATTAGGGATTAGCTTTAAGCCTATATCTTTTTGCTTTAGTTATGGACACTCTTACTGAACATTTACGGAGAATATACCTATACGTATGCTTTTGCTAATGATATCCTTCTTGTGGTTAAGACTAGAGAAAGTTTTTGGAAAAAAAAAACTTGAATTATGGAGGTCTGAGTCTGAAGGCCTTTGTTTAACGAGATATAAAATTGAATACATGAAATGTAATTTTAGTTGTAGTATATCTAGTGGCAGAGTTGTAACTATGGGTAATCAAATCATTAAAAAGTGTGAATGTTTTAAATATCTTGGGTTTATAGTTCAAAATTAGTAGAGTTCAAATTGGTTGATTGAAGTAGGGGAATGCAACAGGACTCTTGTCTGATAGAAAAGTATCGCTTAGACTTAAAAGCAAAATTTGTAAGATAGTAGTGATACATACATTCCTTTATGGTATAGAATGTTGGCCTTTAAAAGAGAAACAAAAAACTAAGTCAAGTGTTACTGGGATGAGAATGCTTAGGTAGATGAGTTGCTTGACAGTTTAAATAAAATGTGAAATTAAAATATCAGTGAAACAGTTGGTGCAGCTCCCATGGTAGACAATATTAAAGAGAGTAATCTTAGATGATTTGGTCACGTTAAGTGTCGATCATCTAATGATCTGGTTAGGAGAGTAGATGTTTTAGATTCAACTT